TTAATTGAAAAAATTTATTGTATTTGCTGATGACAGGCATGCCAGGGTTGTGTTTTATTGCAACAGGCTGCACTTGAAACTGTTTACAATTAATATAACAGAACTAGTTTTATGGCCTTACCTGCCCTGAAAAGATGCTGATCTTGAAAATAAATTTAAAATAAGCACAGCATAAAATAAAAATATACCTAACAGGGAGATTTGCAGTCAGATTGCTTCATTTGAAATAACACATAAGGATGATGTTTTAATTGTCTAAGTCACAAAAACAGTTTGCTACTGAATATGCAAAACAAAGATGTGTATATCACCCCAGCAATAAGAGACAAGTCTCAACGCAAATAAAACATATCCCTGTCCATCTCCCTATTTTTCACATTATGCAGGAAACAAACAGATTAAATACTTATGGCTGCTTGACCATATATTCTTTAATCTGGGACACAGCTTTGATCGAACTGATAAATATTTAAGCGAAGCTATAAAAGACTAAAACAGAAGATGTTGAGACTCTAGAGGGAGTACAGAGAAGAACAACAAAGATGATTAGGGGACTGGAGGCTAAAACATATAAGGAATGGTTGCTGGAATTGGGTAGTTTAATGAAGAGAAGGATGAGGGGGGACATGATAGCAGTGTTCCAATATCTTAGGGCCTGCCACAAAGAAGAGGGAGTCAAGCTATTCTCCAAAGCGCCTGAAGACAGGACAAGAAGCAACGGGTGGAAACTAATCAAGGAGAGAAGAACGAAGCAACCTAGAACTAAGGAGAAACTTCCTGACAGTAAGAACAATTAACCAATGGAACAACCTGCCTCCAGAACCGGTGAATGCTCCAACACTGGAAGTTTTTAAGAAGAGACTGGACAGCCATTTATCTGAAATGGTATAGGGTTGTATGTTATTTCAAAATAATTATGTTAAGACTTGGAATGAAATTTAAAAGACATGCTAAGATGGGAGAAACCACAATTGTCACTGTTGGGGAGAATCTCTGTGGTAAAAACGGGTGTTTGTATGGCAAGGAAAAATGCTACAAGTTAAATACAAGATATACAAGATACAAAGAAAGAGGAGAACTGGGTTTACCTGATCTGAAATTCAATTTTACAGCCCATTGTCTGGTTTGGATAAAAAGATGGATATTGCTAAGAAATAAAAGACTATTAGAATTAGAAGAACATAACTAGGTTAATTATAGCTATATTTCAAATGTCCAATTTATTTACATTCCTCCTTTATTTTTACAAATAACTCAAGGCAGCAAACATCAACACACATTCTTCCTCCTATTTTCCCTACAACAACAACCTTGTGAGGTGAGAGTGACTGTCCCAAAGTCATACAGTTGACTTTCATGGCTAAGGCAGAACTAGAACTCACGACCTCCTGCCTGCTAACCACTAAACCAAAGTGCCTCTCGTGTAATCTAATACTTATAGGATCCAGAATGAAAACTCCTGCACAAATATAATAATTATAGTGCATTTTATTTTAGAACTTTCAAACAATCATTAAACCCCTTCCTTTACAAGAATGTTTGAGGGACCATCATTAATAGCATATAGAACATTAATTATTCATACATACTTCCCTAACAGATCATAGCAGTTTTGCTTCTTTCATGTGTGGAAAGAGTTAAGTGCATAATGTTAAAAAGGTTCTGTTTCTGTATTTTTTATGCCTCATCATCTTTCCACAGTTGGATGTAGGAATTCAGGAAGCAAAGTGAAAAATAATTATACATTTCGCAGATGATGCAATGTTTTTCCCTGTTAAATTTCCAAAATGTTTCCTCTGCCCAACAAGTCCATCTTGTTCTTTGTCAATTTCATCTTCTATGAGCTGCAAAAAGGTTTCATTAAACATCTAAAAGAAAAGATGGATCATTCACAATGCCAAATTATATTTTAAAAACCCTCAACTTCTGTAGACTAGGAACAAGGAAAATTTTCAGCCCTGATGTTTCAGCATGTCAGTTCAGAGATTTTGCATGATGGATGTTGACAGCTCTCTCTCAACACATACACATATACAAAGGTTACCTTTGTTAGGGTGAAAGCATACCAACAATTAATATCACATGCTTTGCCTCCAACTGAACAATTGCTTTGTAAGGTGGAAGGAATACTATAGATTACTTGAGGGACACAGGGTTGTTTTGCTTAAAATACTTAATTTGATTTCTATAGCCGCTCATCTCAACAAATGTCTCTGGATGGCATACAGGTAGTCCTTATAACCATTTGTTCACTGACTGCTTGAAGTTACAACACCCCCATGGTCCTGTGATCAAAATTTGGGTAGTTGGCAACCGGCATGTATTTATGACAGTTGCACTGTCACCATTTGTAACCTTCCCAGCTAGTTTCCAACAAGCAAAGTCAATGGGGGAAGCAAGATTCACTTAATGACTGCAGGATCCATTTAACAACTACAGTGATTCACTTAACAACTGTGGCAAAAAGATTGTAAAAGGGTGCAAAATTCACATAACTGCCTTGCTTAGCAGTGGAAGTTTTGGGCTCAGTTATGGTTGTAAGACAAGGACTCCCTGTACATTCTAAAATATATATATAAAAAGAAGCAATTAAAACCATACAAAGTAAATATCTATGGTACAATAAACACAACTAATAACAACCAAGTTGCATGCGTAGCATACTTATAGATAATTTCTAAAATGGCTTAAGAATTTATAAGCATCCTGAGGTCAGGATTAGCAATATTTGCTTTCCTTTCTATGTTGCTTCATCTATTGCCATAGATGTTAATGCATGCGAGAAATGGTGCCGTTAATACATTTGGGGCCCCAGGTCTGAGCGTATAATCATGAAAGTTCAGTAGGGTCAGGGTCATCCCGATCTCTGAAGGGAGAATATCCAGAGGCAGGGGCTATGGCAGAGAAGGCACGTCTCCTGGTTCCCAGCAGCCAACATTTCTTAGAGGACAGGGCCTACAACATGTCCAAGCTATCAGACTGAATTGGACAGGTAGAAACAACTGGGAGAAGATGGTCCCTTAGGTAACCTGGCCCCAAGACACGAAGGGCTTAGAAAGCTCAATTAAAACTTATGAATCGTGCACCGTTCTTCTTGGCAATGCCCCAACTGCAGGCCATGCCCGTACTATGTTCATTAAGAAAATACTTTGTTTATGCATCTAATTGTTAGTTACACCAAATTGGCTCTGCATTTAATGCTAATATCTAATTGCTAGCATTATTCTGCAAATGGAAAACTTTTATATTATTTTCTCTATATTGTCCCCAAGAGAATTTGTGTCTTCATAGAATTGGAACAAAAGTCTAAACAAGCCACAAGATAACACCGTTTCCTGCCCCTCTCCACAACATGTACTCTTATGTAAGAATGTTGTTGCAGTACCATCCTATGAAATGTAAAAGTCTGGTCTGAAAAAACCTTCCCCAATGTTTCTTTCATTACTCTTATAATTTGGTGAAGTTTTTCTGTTTTTACCCAAATTACTTTCACATACAGTACAGAAATTAGCAAGTTAATGAAGCAACATAGAAAGGAAAGCAAATATTGCTAATCCTGACCTCAGGATGCTTATAAATTCTTAAGCCATTTTAGAAATTATCTATAAGTATGCTATGCATGCAACTTTGTTGTTATTAGTTGTGTTTATTGTACCACCAGATGCCATTGGGGGGAAATTCAGTTAAAAAGAATTTTGCACTTTAGGCATTGATATGCCAATAGCTGCTTTACTGATCACATCTAATTACTGGCTATAAACAAGGAAGTATAAAGTTATCTATAAACACAATCAAGACACAGCAGAGGAGGTGACTGGTTATTCTTGAATCTTTGAAGATTTTTAACTCTGTCTTTCATATATTACAGGTTTATTGAAGTACACTGGCCCTGTAGCTCTAGCATAAAATATGTGCGCAAGTATAATATGCTTCTAATTCAGAATAAAGAGAGTACAGCGGAATTTAATTCCACCTAATATGCAAAGGTCAAAATCACTTCAAATTTTAATTTTGTCCTTTTCTATATGTCTTTTAAAAACCCAATGGTTCTATTATATGCCTTAGAAGTAAGACACTAACAATTCAGTGTAAGGAACATTTTTATATACTTTTCAACCTTTCAACAAGTTCTAAATCTACCAACAAAAAATACAGTGACTGTGTTTAAATGATACACTAAACTATAGTTTGATTAGCCATGGTTCACTACATGAGCCACAATTAAATTCACACAGTGCACTACCGGTAGAACAATCCATGGTTTTCAGACATGGCTGGGTTCATAACAATTTGCTGACTGACAAACCTTAGAGAACAATTAACCAGTGGAATGATTTGTCTCCAGAACTTCTGTGTGTTCCACTACTGGAAATTTTTAAGAGATTGGAAAGCCATTTGTCTCGAATAGTATAAGGTCTACTGCTTAAGTAGGGGGTTGGACTAGAAGACCTCCAAGATCCCTTCCAACTGTTACTCTGTAAATCACAATTTGGAATAGCATATCACTCAGCTAGTGGAGTACAGGATAAATGTCTGCCATTCTGTCTGCAAGGAAGCAGCTGCAAAATTCCACCAAAAAGGAGGGGAAATTTTGCAATTTTCCATCACAGCATTTTTCTCCTGAATTTCAGGTCCATGCTTAATCCATAAGGACCTGAATTGCTGAAATCTATAGGTGACAATCAATGGCGTATCATATCTAGATATCTCCAGAATCTTACTCCGGAGTTGTCCAAAATAGAACAATCCTAGGTCTTTTTCCAGATCTAAGCTGAATTCAAGAGATTTACTAGCACCAGAAGCCGCCTTTTAATTTTAACGATTCAATTGCTAACTGACACTGACTTTTAAGTAGACCACTTCTAAGTAAGAAGACCCAAGATCTGCAGTAAGGTCGCCATGGCATTTTTTAAAGAGGGATTTCGCCCGACGATTCTCTTCGGAGAAAATGCCCCGCGGCATCGCGCTCTTGCGTAGCAGCAATCCTGTGCAATACTTACCTGGAAGTAAAACAAGGCGGGTTGGAAATCGCTTCCTTGAAAACCCGCTTTGGATCATCTAACGCTGGCGCCTATGCCAACATTAACACCAGCGGCATGTATATAGTAAGATCATGCCCTGAATGCCATCATGCACAGCCCCACAAAGAGCCGAGAGCCTCAAACAGCGTGCAGGCGAGGTGGCAGATCAAAGACTTCACCTGCGTGCCTCCTCCTCCTCCTCAGCAGCTGGTCCAGAGAGGCGGCGGCGGCGCTGGTTCGGCCGAGGGAGCGAGCGCAGGCAGCAACGCAGCGTCTGGTTGCCGGGCGAAACGCTCTCAGCTGCGGCGGCAGGTTGCGTGGATCAGGAAATTAGGGCAGCCGGTTGGGATTGGAGGCGCTCGCGAGCCAACCAGAGGCCGCCCAGGCGTCCGTGAGTCACCGGCGGCAGCGGCGCGCAAGGAGAGCGGCGCGGGGAGGCTGGTATAAGAGCGCCGCCGAGCTGCCCTCCCCTTTGTGTACGTTCTTCGGCTCTTCCTCACCGGCACGACCGGTGTGTGCGTGCGCGGGTGCACGCGTGCCGCCCTGCCTGGCACCTCCTGGATTTCTACTCCCCCCCCCACACGCCGCCCGCACCTTCCCCCCCCCCAGCCGCGCGCGCTTTTGCCTGGGACTGGAATTGCCTCCTTGCATCGCCGCTGCATTGTCTGCTTCTCGCCGCCCTACCTGGAGCCTTCCCCCCCCCCTCCCGCTCCAGCGGAGGCTCTTCACCTTTCTCAAAAGGGGGACAGCGAGGAAGGAGTCTCTCCCCCGGCCCGCCTGCGCGTCCTCCTTCTGCCCGAACTTGTGTGAGGAGGCGTCGCAGGCGCTGCACGATGGACACGTTCCGGCGGCTGGGGCTGGGGCTGCTGCTGCTGGCGCTGGCTTGCCTGCGAGGAACGCGTGGTGAGTAAGGGGGCTCCGTTAGCTCGGAAGCTGCCGCGACTCCCCAGCTCTCCCCTGGGGACGCCTGGCAACCGGGTAGGCGGCGGAGCGAGGGCGGCAGGACGCGAGCGAGCGAGCCGGCGCGGTGCCTTTGCCTTTAGGGGAGCGGCGGACTCGCTCGTTTCTCCAGAAATACCCCCCGAGGAGTAGGAATTCTCTCTCACACACCCAACGAAAGGCTACGTGCTCTTGCGCCCGTAGTCAAAATTCCACCCCTTTTTTCCCCTTGCTATCCGCCTTGCCGAGACGCCGGGTAGAAAGGCGCGCGGGGGGGTGCCGCTTTCCATTTGATTTTGGCTGGCAGTCGAGGCAAGCCTGGCCGCTGCCGAAGCGAGTGCGTGGTTAGAGGGGCAACCTGGCCTCCTGCGGAGGGTGTCCCGGCCTTTCTTTGTCTGACAGCTGTTGTGGGCTCCGCCGTAGCCTTGACCCTGAAGTTGAGCCCTTTGCTCCCAGGGAAGCTCTTCAAGTGCTCCCCTGCTCTCTCGCTCTCTCCTCCCCCTTTCCCGTGGTTTGGTACATCTGAAGGGAGCCTCCTCAGTGTTGGTCGCAGAACTTTCCATCTGCCTCTGAGGGGAGGGCTGGTCCTTGAAGAGTTCTGTGTGGCTGCATCGCCATAGTGTTGGTGGGGGTCTCGGGACAATATAGTGTAAATGTTTATGTGGTCCTTCTGTCGACCAATTCAGCAACGGTAACTGTGGCTTAATGGCATTTATACGCCTGGGGAGGATAGCATTGGCTCCAAGTGAGTGGGGTCAGTGGAGTTACACAGAAGAGGACTGCTGGTAGTAGTAGATGCTGAGAATACTGTTCCTAAAAAGAGATAAGGGAGCTACTCCAAATGAAAAATGCAGATAGTAGAGCCTAGTGATAGATCTGGGAAATATAGTTTGGCAATGTTATATGGCCTGCAGGAACCAGAGACACACAGCACATTGTTCTCAGCAGTATTTTAGTTGGCATATGGAGCTGGTTTTGAAGGCCAGTAATGTTTTTAATTAATGCTTTAAGATGTAAGTGTTTGAGTGATTTAATGATGAAACAGCTACTCCCTTAAATAATAATCCTGGTCTGTTTTTCTTTGCTTGCCTAACTTTCCTGAGCTGTGCCGCTGGAGAAGATAAAAACTGGGAGAAACTCCACAGTTCACCACACAATTAACTACTTCTGATCCTTCATGGTTCTGCTAGTTCCTAGTACTGTAATGCAAGACAATTATCACAAATAGGACTGTACTGCAAGTGCTGTAGGATGGTGATTTGTAATAGTTGGTGACAAATATGGCTGGGGAGGCCATTTAAAGCCAAGCTAAAATTCCAGGGCGTCTTAATAGGAACATGTAGGTGAGCTCTCTCTGTTTATTAGAACAAATTCTTTGGACTCAATTACATTATGACTAATATCATTGCAGATGGATTTGAAGTTCTTAGCCACATCACTGGTTTGCTTTTTTTTTTTCTATAAATCTAACTTGAATAACCTTTTAACTTTAGCACTTCAGAAACAAAATGCCAATCCACCAAAATGGTAATCCTCCTTCCCTGCCAAATACTCCATTGTAAACATGCTGTGCTAAAACTTACAATACTTGGCTGTGCTCTAACCTTTTCTAGATTATAGTCTTACTTTCATCAGATATAGAAAGGAATGGAATCTTACATTGTATTTCTTCCCATTTTTTCTTAATACCTGCTTAACTGGAAATCATTATTTAATGCCTGAAAGATTTCAAATAAACATTGATAAGTTTCCTTTGTTGGTTTTTAAATATCTTCAGTCAGTTCCTGCTGAAGCAAGCCATTTAAGAACTTTCTTCTTTTTCAAGCATTAGTAATTAGGCCAAGAAACTTAAGTTTCAAGGCCAAGTAGTACCAATACCAAGTTACACATTAGAGTAGGTGTCCATATGTGCTGCATTGCCATCAGTGTCATGTTGGAAAGGTCGTGCAGTTTTAATGTAGTTCTAGCTCTAAAGTGAAAAATCCACAGGATTCCAATAAGCATAGATAGTGAAGATCATAGAAATTTCGGTTCTTCACCTTTGTTTTTAGTAACTAAAACTATTTGTTAATGTAAAAGAAAAATATTGGATGTGAAAGAATCCTGGTTAGGGGTATGCAAAACTCTGTTCAAAATGGGTACTCCAGTGTTAACCACAATTGTTGTGATGGTATTTCAACCATACAGGTAATCCTTGACTTCCAACGATGTGTTTAGTGACCAAAGTTACATCAGCACTGAAAAAAGTGACTTATGACCAGTTTTCACATTTGTGACAATTGCAGCATCCCCGTGGTCACATGATCAAAATTTGGGCACTTGACAACTAGCATGTATTTATGGCAGCTACACTATCCAGAGGTCATGTGATCACTATTTGTAACCTTCCAATCCAGCTTCCAGCTTCTTTGGGGAAGAAAGGTTGTAAAACTCAACTGCCTTGCTTACAATGTAAATTTTGGGCTCTATTGGGCAAGTTGAGGATTATATGTACTGGAAATGTTCAAGACCTCAAACGGGGTGTTTTAAACTTGGAATCAAGATAGTTTTGGCACTCTTTGATAACTTCAACGCAGCTGTCTTGACCACACCTACCATCAATCAAAGTAAACTAATGAAATATAGCAAGTAGGTAAAAACATATTTAAATAACTGCCTTGCTTATGGATTAAATTTTGAATACAAGAGTTGACTACCCTTTGAAGCATTGAATATCATGAGCTAAAATCTCAGTCTGGGCATTAAATTTAGCATAAACCTTTGCATTGGGTATCAGCCATCTTTAATTTTGTGATGTCCAAAACCTGCAGAAACCTTTCATTACATGTTCTATGTTTGCCCTGTTATTTCCTTACAAAGTAAATGATACAATAAAAAGTACTGAGAGAGTGGCTAGTAAGCAAAATAAACTGAAGAAGAAAAAAATGAAATCTTACTAAACTAAGTTTATAGCAACTGTGTTCTCTTTGTTTTGCCATATATGACTATTCTTGCTTCCGCTATGCCCATATACTAATTAATTGCTTTCTGTTCTTTAAGCTTTTCTTTTTTTGAAAATCATCCACTTTATCCATCCATGACTTTCTTGGTTTTTCCTTTCTTTTCAAGCCATTTTCCTTCATGTATTTGTTATACAATTTAATCCTTAACATCTATATACTCTAGAGCAGTGGTTCTCAACCTTTTTAATGCCGCGACCCCAACTGGTTGTAAGTCGAGGACTACCCAACCGGTCGTAAGTCGAGGACTTTCCCTGCCCGGGAGCACCGTGCATGCGTGGTGCCGCCTCCTACGCCGGCTGAGACGTAGCTGGCAAGTGGCAGAGATGGCGCAGGCCGACCACCGGCTGGGCCACCAGCTGGCCCAGCCCAAGGGAGGTAAGGCACCCACTGGGCCCCACGTGCGCCAGCAACCCTCCCTGCACCCGCTGGCCTCCCACCTCCCACCCCTGGCCCTCTCTTACTTACATTTTTAGTAGTTGCTCAGCAGGGAGGGGTGGAAACTTCCAGGCAGCTCGCCTTCGCTGCAGACAACTTGCAGCACCGTTTGCAGAATGGGACTTTTGGCGGGCTCAGCAGGGCAGAGACAGCCTGGACAATTTTGAAAGCCAATAAAATTAGACTCTATTCAAGAGAGTCTATTCTATTGGCTTTCAAAAGCCAATAGAATAAAAGGGAGTAGCACAGCTAAGGAAAAGGGGAAAAAAATGGCGGACTGCGTTGTTTGGCGACCCCCGTGAAATGGTCGTTCGACCCCAAATGGGGTCCCGACCCACAGGTTGAGAACCACTGCTCTAGAGGTATATATAGAATATTTCATATAACAAGGTGGACATAAACTCGTTTTCATATATGGCTACATATTTTCAGTTCTTTCAAGTTTAATTCATTCCTCTCAATAATTCCTCTTTAATTCATTCCTCCCATATAGTACCAGTACTTTTTTACTGAGACGTTTTCAGGCTTTAGAACAATGGTTTTCAAACTTGGCAACTTTAAGTTATATGGGCTTCAACTCCCAGAATTCTCCAGGGAGAATTGCTCGGCATGCTGGTTGGGGAATTCTGGGGGGTTGAAAAGCACTGCTTTAGAATTACTCCCTCATTCTCTAAAGGTATACAAATTCATTCATTTCCCTTGCATTTCTGCCATTGTACTGGTAATTGTTCACTTCCTTTTTCTTGTCAAACACAAAGTTTGACAGGAGATTTTCTGGGGGAGAGATTAAAGCCACCAGATAGTTTTCATCTCGCATTGCACAGTGTATTTATTCATAGCACTGTACTCTGAAACAAGTGAAGAAGTTAATGTGAGGATTGTGCACTTAGCAAAACCCTTGTCTACTTGTTGGGATTATACCAATTAATTACACATTCAGAGCTTTACACATTAGGGGAAGGAAGATCAAGACTAGGTCCTTATATGTGCTGCTCAGCAGATATAAACACTTATTGACTTTCTTCTAGCAGTTTTTGTAATTTAAATTTGGTTTTGACAAGCACATTCCACAAGAGTGGCATTTAAGAAAAGCTATTCAAATTGTGGAGATTAATGCATTCATTG